GCCGCCGCCACTCTGCGCCGCGGTCGCTGGACTTAGCAAAGAAAAACTTTGCATGCGTTTTATTACGACGGATGCGGAATCGCCGTGGGGCTTAATTTAGTAGTAGTCTGCTCGCAACATCCTTTGGTAAATATCGAAAATACTTTGTTGTATTTATAAAGTTCGCATACGCATCGTACTCGAACTATGAATATGGTGGAATTATTACTGTTTTTGTGACTGACAACAGCGATAAAGTGGTTTTCAAACATATCCCGCGCCACTTGATATCTAGTATATTTACGGAATTTACCGCGACTTTCAACATTTTGTCAGCTTCGCACAAACTCGATATAACTTCAGATGGTTATATGGAAACAGTATACTGTAGAAAAGCATGTTTTTTAGAATTAGCCCTTAACAATACTGATTGGTTAATAGAATCATAAAAGCCTCACAACTGAACCAGATAGACTTTCCAGTGCGATAATCGAGGAACAAATTTATTGTGCCCTCGGGCGGCTGGAGTGGCCTAAGGCGGGCAGTGGTTCATTTGATTAAAGCCCGCCCGCGCTCGGAAATTATCAAACGAAACGCACCGACAGCCCAGCGGGCCGTGAGAGGCTGCATTAATAGTTTTTGTTGCCCCAACTCGGACGCGGTACGTTTTGCTAGTTAAAGTTTGGCAAATTTTTACTTTGTGCGAAATGTTTAGAAGTATCTAAATTCTCCTTTGGTAGTCTTTTTAATAGGCAGTAAAAATGCTATAACCACGAGTAACTTACATATAACTCACTTCTAACTGCTCGAGCACGCGGAATACTTGCTTAGGGTGAGTGAAACTGACGGTCACGGCCACTGTAATGAAAAAAAAAACATACCGTCGAATTGAATACCTCCTTCTTTTGGGAAGTCGGTCAAAAATGAAATGACAAAGATTAAAATTGTAGTTCAAACAATTACATCTCTAAATTGTAAACAAATCAATAGTTTATTACTTTAAAATTAAAAACGTTTATTTGTCGTTTGTACAGATTTTCCATTCGCACCTAACGTTAATTTGTTTGTACAAATTTAGCAGTGCGCCCACAAAACGATTCGATTAAAATTTATCCGTCTATTTCATTTGACAAAATGTTAATAATAACTTTGTAAACTTCACTGTAGTAATATACTTGAAAATTAATTTATTTGCCTTGATTTTCACAACGTTCATTCATTTTAATAGTTGTGTTTTGTTGTGAACATTTTTTATCGAACTTTTAACATATCATTGTAACTAACTTGTTTATTCTAATTAGTTACAAATGGCTGTTTGTAATAAATTACTCATGAAACGATTTGACTTACGAGCATTCCAATAATTTATTGTACGGGTAATGTATGAGCTGAAATGTGGCCGAACAGACATAAAGCGTACGCTGTACATAGAACGAAATGACAAATATGATTACTAAAATTCCAACAGAAATGATTGTAACAGAGACTAGTCCGTCAATACACGTAATGAAGTTTGATTAGCGATTCGCGCGTTCCACGCACATTGTGTAATCCATGCGTTTGCATTGCCGACACATTCACAAAAACATATAGTTATCTCTCTTATTCTCTTTGAAAATAGACATAACAATGTTTTTGATTACGTGTTTTGGTATTCGACGTGTTTACAAAGGAGTGCATTATACGTATGTGAGAAACAGAATTTGCTCAGTGATATGTTATGCATCTATTGATGGGGGCTTTGAATTCCGGAAATAAGTCTTCACTTGATACGTCATCTCGACCCAGTACTGGACTTTAAACGCCCAGTTCAAATAGGCTAGGACCTCTTGGCAATTCCAAGTACAAGAATTAGGTACAATGTTAGATTTAAATAGAATCGTATCTCGATTGTATTATATATGGTTAGTAAACTATTGTAAAATAAAATAAAGTGTTATGACACGGGCATGTTGAAAGCTTTAATCTGTCGATCATTAGCAGGTATTTAGCCTTTCCCCGATTGCGGTATTCAGTCAATTTGTCGAATGAATTTCCACTCGCCCCATCGTCCGCTCCGAATGTGACGTATCAATTATTTATGAAATTAATAGCGATGGTAAAAACGATGTCTGATCCATCAAAGCGTCCGCAATCTTTATTAGATTACGATTCTCTGAGTGTTGGTCGTTTTGATGATTTGCTCATCAAACATTTATAGAATAAACTGCAACTTTATGTCACCGTCCAAACATTTTGCAACGTTAAAGTATTTGAATGACCATTTATAAACGTCCATACACTTCCTAACATAATTGTACCGATATTATAACGCAGAATGAATTTTAGTAAACCCTCATAGACGTTATGAAAACAAGCACGAGTTAACGCATAAGTATGTGATATGTAGGTGAGGCAAGGCCAAAAAGACGCGTAAATTTTGTCATAGCAAATTCTTATACTGTACGTAAAACATCGGTGACATTTAGTTCTAATGCGATGTTTGGATCAAATGTTTGTAACACGTATACACAATATTTGAATGTAGGAATTTCCAACATGATTTCGTTGCAGGGATTACTTGAATTTTTGCGATGCGTGACATCGCGTCTGCTAACATGCCACCCGAAGCTAATACATATTTTAGAGTTACATTGAATCTGTGTGTCAACAACGTGTCACTAAGTTAGAACTTTCTTGAATATTTACACTAAATATTTGTTGATCTTTAGGAGCACGTTCAGAGAAATTTATCGTCTGATTCTAA